GGGTTTCCCAGTGGCTGCTGGGTATTCCTTGATGACATCATGAGTAAATCTGAGGGCAGTCAGGTGATACGGTGAACACTCAACAATGGAGGAGACCAACGCCCCCTACTGTTCAGCTCTACCTTGTTTGGATGCTGGTTAAAAAACAAATAACTGGTAGAGTTAGTTTTAGCTCGTTTTTAAAAGAAATAGTAAGAAATTCTCCAAATACCAGGCGTCACTATCTGAGTAACCAGTATCTGAACGTTGTATTTATATCTGTATAATATACAGTATATTATATGTGTGTGTGTGTGTGTGTACACACACGTATAAGATCAATCCTGACATTGATATAACCTGGTGATGTTTCCTGGTGATGTTTCCTGGTGATGTTCCCCTGGTGAAGTTGCTGTGGTTCTCCTCAGGTTGCTCCACCTGGCCATCATCCACGAGGCCAAGGACTACGTCAAGGCCATGGTCGACGTGTCCAAAAACACAGACTTCCTGAACAAACAGAACGACCTGAGACAGGTACACGACCCTCATGGTGATTCACCATCTCCACACTCTTCTTCTTCTTCCACGGTGGTTGACGTTGTTTCTCCTCCTCCAGACTCCTCTCCACTTGGCGGTGATAACGAACCAGGCCGACGTGTGTCATCACCTCCTGGTGTCCGGCTGCGACCCCTCCCTGGTGGACAACAGGGGGGACACGCCTCTTCACATCGCCTGTCGTCACGGCAACCTAGTGTGCTTCAGCGTCATCACACAGTTCTGTCAGGCCGAGCGCCTACAAACTGTCATGGCCGCCTGTAACTACAATGGTAGGAACTGTGTTCTAGTACCCATACCAGTACTGCAGTATTTTATTTCCTGATCTCGTACCAACCTCCTCCGTCAGTTCTTGATGTTTTAGCACCAGTTCAATATTCCTGGGTTCTTGACTAGATCACACTCTGACTACAGTTACACCTCAGTATGTCGTCCTGACTGTAGTATCGCAGTACATCGCAGTATATTGTATCGTTGGCCCTGTATCATGATAGATATCGCATCGACAGATTGTTGCCAACGTACACCCCTAGTGGTCATTCGTGCTGACCTTGTTAAACCTCCAGACCTTTTATATTTGGGAAATGACGTGGTCTGGTCCAGACTGGACTGGACTGGACTGGACTGGACTGGACTGGTCCAGACTGGACTGGACTGGACCGGTCTAGACTGGTCTGGACTGGTCTGGACTGGACTGGACTGGTCTGGACTGGTCAGGTCAGTCGTCTTTGAGGATGAGTGTCACGTCTACATCCTTCCTGACAGAACATTTGAACCCCCGGAGGAGAACCTGGTGGACGTGTTGACAGAGTTGACGTGTTCTGGTACTTCTGTTTGTTGTTCAGGTCAGAACTGCCTCCACCTCGCCTCCGTTCACGGTTTCCTCCTACTGGTGGAGAACATGGTCCAACTTGGAGCTGACATTAACGCAAAGGTAACAACACGCACACACACACACACATGCACACGCACACATGCGCGTTCAAACTAACAGTCGTATCAACACAGCGTTAACTTGACACACGTGTCGTTCCACTTCCCTCCTGTAGGAGCAGCACAACGGCCGCAGCGCGCTGCATTTGGCCGTGGACCAGCAGAACCTCTCGCTGGTCCAGCTGCTGCTGAAACAAGGTGCGGACCCTAACCTCCTGACCTCTGGAGGCCATTCGCCGTACCACCTGACCTACGGCTACAGCAGTGCTGAAATCAGACGAGAACTGTTCCCACGGACCGACCCCGACCTGAGGGAGCTGCCTGACAGCGAATCAGACGACAGCGAAGAAGAGGAGGAGGACAAGTCTGACGAGGAGGTACGTTCACACCGCGGAGGGGGGGCAGCAGGAGCGACGGAGGGAGGTGTCTGTGATTTTAACCGTCTGTTCCTCCGTGCGTGTCCGTAGGACTGTCATGGCCGCCTGTAACTACAATGGTAGGAACTGTGTTCTAGTACCCATACCAGTACTGCAGTATTTTATTTCCTGATCTCGTACCAACCTCCTCCGTCAGTTCTTGATGTTTTAGCACCAGTTCAATATTCCTGGGTTCTTGACTAGATCACACTCTGACTACAGTTACACCTCAGTATGTCGTCCTGACTGTAGTATCGCAGTACATCGCAGTATATTGTATCGTTGGCCCTGTATCATGATAGATATCGCATCGACAGATTGTTGCCAACGTACACCCCTAGTGGTCATTCGTGCTGACCTTGTTAAACCTCCAGACCTTTTATATTTGGGAAATGACGTGGTCTGGTCCAGACTGGACTGGACTGGACTGGACTGGACTGGACTGGTCCAGACTGGACTGGACTGGACTGGACTGGACTGGACTGGTCCAGACTGGACTGGACTGGACTGGACTGGACTGGACTGGTCCAGACTGGACTGGACTGGACCGGTCTAGACTGGTCTGGACCGGTCTAGACTGGTCTGGACTGGTCTGGACTGGACTGGACTGGTCTGGACTGGTCAGGTCAGTCGTCTTTGAGGATGAGTGTCACGTCTACATCCTTCCTGACAGAACATTTGAACCCCCGGAGGAGAACCTGGTGGACGTGTTGACAGAGTTGACGTGTTCTGGTACTTCTGTTTGTTGTTCAGGTCAGAACTGCCTCCACCTCGCCTCCGTTCACGGTTTCCTCCTACTGGTGGAGAACATGGTCCAACTTGGAGCTGACATTAACGCAAAGGTAACAACACGCACACACACACACACATGCACACGCACACATGCGCGTTCAAACTAACAGTCGTATCAACACAGCGTTAACTTGACACACGTGTCGTTCCACTTCCCTCCTGTAGGAGCAGCACAACGGCCGCAGCGCGCTGCATTTGGCCGTGGACCAGCAGAACCTCTCGCTGGTCCAGCTGCTGCTGAAACAAGGTGCGGACCCTAACCTCCTGACCTCTGGAGGCCATTCGCCGTACCACCTGACCTACGGCTACAGCAGTGCTGAAATCAGACGAGAACTGTTCCCACGGACCGACCCCGACCTGAGGGAGCTGCCTGACAGCGAATCAGACGACAGCGAAGAAGAGGAGGAGGACAAGTCTGACGAGGAGGTACGTTCACACCGCGGAGGGGGGGCAGCAGGAGCGACGGAGGGAGGTGTCTGTGATTTTAACCGTCTGTTCCTCCGTGCGTGTCCGTAGGTCGGCTACGACGACATTCACTGGAACGGACATTAGCAGGAACCTGGTGGTGAAGAGGACGTTACTGAGAACTGAGGCTGTGATGATGACGGTCCAGGAGCGCAGACGTGACTCGGCTCATCTGCACCTCCTGGACCTGACGTCACAGACGCCCCGTGGCGTGGCTGACACGGCGCAGGTGTTACCACGCACAGAGGAACCAGAGACTGGCCACTGGATGTACCAGGCTGCAGGGGCTAACAGTGAGCTGACGCAGCGTGACTGGACGGCTAGGCTACATGTTAGCAGGATCGCAAACCAAACCCTCCATCCAGACAAACGTACCCGCCCCGTCCAGCTGTGGTGTATATTGACCTTGTAAATGCTGTGTATACTGAGATGTATTTTTTATGGAAGCTGTGAATCTGTACAGTTGAGAAGGTTGTTTTTGTCCCACAGAGAACAGTCCAGCGAACAGCAGTTAAATTAAAGACTCGTATTTAACAGTAAACACTTCCTGTGTCAGTCAATCTACACGTTTGATTTGTTTTGTTTATAACTTCCTGTGTGACGGACGAGCTGCGCTGACACCGGAAATAAACTTCAGATGTACGTAAGCGCAATAAAGTAGCACAGCTGGACGTTACTCTGGTCTGACGGACTTCTAGATCCTTCGACGTCATTCGTCCTGCCCAATGCACCGATCGCGGTCAATCATTGTTTAGGAAGTGCGATCGCTATTTAAAAAACAGACGTTAGCCTATTGTTTAGGATCGCTATTTAAAAAACAGACGTTAGCCTTTATCCCGCCTACGGCACGACGTCTGCCGCGTGCTTGACGTACAGGACAGCCAATCTGCGATCTTTTTTATGCCACCACGCATGTACGCATCGTGATTATGGCGCCAAGATTTTGAGAAAACCTCGCGTCAGAGCTGGGGACGGAACCGACTGCGCGTGCGCAACTTGAACTTTTGCGACACTGACAGCAACAAGCTGTCAGTTTGACAGACGACTCTGCTTTACGACTGGAGCCGACAAACATTTCAGGGCAATATTTGGGTCGATTCACTCGGAATACGATCGGACGGCGGTATTTGAAAAGTTCAGACTGAAATTAACGACGTCCAGCTGCGAAAAGTAAGTAACCACACGAACCTCAACTGGACCGCGTTATTTGGCGCGTCAGTCTTTTATACTTTTATATATATATATATATATATATGGATGTATGTATGTACAGTATGTATTTTGGGATGACAGATGACGTCACACACGCCACGGTTATTCGGTTCTTTAACGATAAGATCTGTTGGTGGAACGGCTTCAGTAACAGTTTGAAGTTGAATCGTTGACGAGAGGCTTTTAATCTGAACAAGGAAGTGACGTCAAAAAGACTTGTTTGTTCACTGGTCACGAGAAGAGATTTGGGGAAGTTCCTGTGTGAATGTGATGTGAGTTGGGAATCTGGAGGGCGGGGCCAACAGGGAAGGAACAGGAAATTCCCCGCAGCAGAACTGTTGTC